TATTTTTCCATGAAATGAAGTCTTCAGACATCTTACTATTGATATTGTATGCTTAAGAACAAGGTCTTTAATGAAAATGTGACCTTTATTCTCTCTTCTACAAGAAACACAGTCATGACACATTACTTGTCAGTAAGTGAACATGAATCTGCACCCATAAACTTGCTTGAGGCTACTTGACTTTAGGGCGTCTTCTGTGCGTACCATAAAAGTTAATCCAGTATTAAAGTTTAAGTTAGATCTCTAATGCGCAGCAACCAGGATTAAATTTAGTTCTTCTCTGGACCAGGGTTCACTTTTGAGCTCAATGATTAATCCTGCACCTGCGCAGAATGAGCTAGTTAATCCCAGCAATCATGTATTGATACGTCATGACAACGTCATCACCTCCATAGAAAAGATGGGTTCAGTTGCCATTAATATTTAAAATAAGTAATAACAAAAAATATTTTGACATTTTCATTTTGTGAAAGTTGTATGTGAAAATTCATCAATTTATATTTTGAGGAGTTTTGGGATATTCAAACTGCAGATATAACTCTCAACATTGAAAAGAAAAAGTTAAAGAAAACCCCACAGGGAATTCCAGGGTTTACAGAAAAGGTATTATTTCAAGGTAGGAAAAACATTCTCAGCTTATGCAATATATTAGTCAAATAAAAAAATGAAACTTTTCATAACAGGACAATTAGGTTTCAAATTCAAAGTAAAAATCTCCTGATTCTTTTAACTAAAGTGACTTCAAAACCAACTACTCATAAGAAAGAGCTTTTGGAGAAAACTCCCGCGACTATAAATTGATATTACAAGTATATCTTTTCTTGTTGACACCTTCATTTCGGTTGTCTAAAATATTTATAGGTTATTTGAATCCATTTATATAATTTTATTTGTACTGACACAGATATACATCGGCATGATATAACACTAGCATATATGTGTATGTTTTTCATCTGTAGCAAACATCTTTATTAACATTAGCGTATAATGTGAAACTTGTAGAGGGTGAATGCTAATTGCCATTACACAGACACCTGCTTTTTCATGCAAAACATAAAATTTACTGATAATCACATTGACTTGTGCACCTAGCTGTGTGTCTTGCATCTTCTGTGAATTTGGATTAACTTTTAATCTGAAATTAACTTTTAAGAACTGTACAAAAGATGCATTTAGACAAGCGCTATCATTTATTTCATGGTCCCAGTTAAAAACTAAAGACCAAAAGCTTCCTTTTGTACCTATTTTGAATGCAGGAAAATAAAGAGATATATCCTGTATACATATATATATATTATATATACATACATAATATATATATATTATATATACATACATAATATATATATATTATATATACATACATAATATATATATATATACACACTTTTCTTCAACAAGAAACTCTATAAAGGAATTCATTTCCAAAACATCCTAATTTACTGACTCAATACAAGTTTAACATCCTAGATACCTAAAACATATACAGAAATCAACAAATATGCAATGCCACTCCACCGTCTTACAAAGGAGAGGATATTAAGCCCTGTGTACCACCTTTGCCCCTCTCTGGGAAAATGTTTTTTCACTTCTTTCCATATTTCTTAGGCTTTTTATTGTGGACTCGCATATGTTTCTTTTGGTTACCTTTATCCGAGAATGATTTACTACATACCTCACAATTAAATGGCTTTTCTCTTGTATGTACTCTCACATGTCTATCCAGAGCAATTTTCTCAGGGAAAGCTTTACTGCATATATCACAACTATATGGTCTCTCCTTTGTATGCACTCTCATGTGTTTCACAAGGTTGCTCCTCCCACAGAATGGCTTAGAACAAATGTCACAGATATAAGGCTTCTCTTTCGTATGGATTCTCATATGTTCCACCATGTGATGTTTCTGAGAGAAGGCCTGGTTACAAATTTCACAATTATAGGGCTTTTCTCTTGTATGTACTCTCATGTGAACTAAAAGCTTACTCTTGCAAGGGAGTTTCTTGTCACAGACCTCACAATAGAAACATTTCCCTTTTGTTTCGGACTTTTTGCGCGTTTCCTCATCACTATCTTTCTTGTATAATGTCTGGTCTGGTGTGAAGAGGTTCTCACAGACCTCGAAAGCAAGTGGCACTGGCAAGAACAATGGATCTTCCTCTTCACACGTCAAATTATCCGAGCCATTTGTAACATCTTCCTTCAGATTGTTGATTTCTTTTTTAACTGTACTTTCACAACCTGTATCTACCTCCTTTTCCGTTTTGATAAAGACGGCATTCACTCCATCAATATCCTTGAGAACTTTTATTCTATGGTTGTTCACTTCATTGGCATCTTCAATAACCTCTTCCTTGACAGCAACAAATTCAATTGCATTGTCAGGCACTTCCATATCTAACTTCAAGTCATCCATGACTGCAGCCGCTCATTACATATAACAGTAGCTGTGAATGAAAGAAAAAAGTAATTATAATACTAATAATGATGCAAGATAATAATTAGCAATAATAACAAAGTCATTATGGTTATAAACCACAAAGAAAAATACAATCAATAAAAGAGAGAAAAAGTGAATTGACACAATGATCTATGGCAAAAACTGCAGATGGAAACCTCACAAGAAGTTCACAATATGTGTGTGTGTGTGTGTGTGTGTGTGTGTGTGTGTGTGTGTGTGTGTGTGTGTGTGTGTGTGTGTGTGTGTGTGCGCGTGTGCGTTTGTATACATATACTTATATACATAAATATATATATAAGTATATATACATATCACCATAAATATATGTGTATATATACACATATATACATATGTATGTATACATATAATATATATGTATATGGTCGAAAAACCCACAATGTAAAACTAGATTTATTGAAAATGAGAAAACAGTTTCGGAATCCACCTGGATTCCATGCTCAAGTCTGACCTGAGGATGGAATCCAGGTGGATTCCAAAATTGTTTTCTCATTTTTAATAAATCTAGTTTTACATTGTGGGTTTTTCTACCATAGTATCAACACGGTAGAGTGTTTTCACCCTTCATATATGTATTCATATATTTGTATATGTATGTGTATGTATGTATATATATATATATATATTGTCATATGATCAACCATAATTATCTCATTTATAATTGGGTGTTTTATCTACTTTATATTATGATACTAGTACCATATCCCTCTATATATATTGCATGTGTACATAACCCTTATATAAACATTAGTGCTGTACAGTCCTCCAGAATATACTTGTGCAGCTCAGTAGAGCTCTGCATTTTATTCATCTTTTCACTAACATTACCAGATCTTTTGAAGCAACCATAAGGGATAACAGAAACATAAGTGCCAAAGATTGCCAAGATGACCCAAATGAGGATTATTTCACAGTAAGTTCTGTCAGAGCAGTAGAAGTGTCAAACAATAATGATAGTGAAACTCTACAATCTATCAAAGTCAAGACCCCCATCAACAAGACAAGACAAAGTTGATACAGGGGCTATAGCAAACTAGCTTCCAATAAGAGCATTTTGAATTATGTACCCAGATTTACTGAATGCTTATGGGAAGTCAAAAACCTGTCTGACCAACAACCATTAAAAGAATCTGGTTGCCGTGAACAATTTGAAATTCAAGCATTTTGGGTCGATCAAAATAAAGTGCACTTTCGATGAGAACCTACAGATTGGGTCAACAGCATGGCTTGCACTATGAAGAAAGATGGCAGTCTACATATATATTTACATCTACAGCTATAGAAAGAAGGCATCACAAGACTCCTACGCAAGAGGAAGTGGTCTGTCACATTTGCCATCAACGGACAACCAACTTATTGGTCTGGACCCACAAATCAACTTTGTTACATTCAGCAACAAGACTAAAGGAAGTCATTATCCAAGGATGGCTAGAGAAAATGAAAAGACCTACCCATCATGTTACAACCATACTGGTCCTTCAGACACGAGTTATCTACTGAAGATGGGCCAGTGATAAAAGGCAGCAGAGTCATAATCAGCATCCATGCGGAAAAATGTGCTCGACAGCATCCATGAAGGACACCAAGGCATCATGAAATGCCAACTTCAAGCCAAAGACTGTGTATACTGGACTTCAGTCAACAGGGACATTGAAGACATAGTCCAGCAGTGTCACATCTCCCAAGAAACTTCAAGGTCACAAACAAATGAAACCCTCATCCTACATGACCATGGCAATGTGTTGGAATAGATCTTTTCCATTATGGAGAAAATGATTACCTGATTATATCTGACCACTACTCAAAGTTCCCAGTTATCAGGAAAATGCCCATGCTTGTCACGAGCACGGCAACAATCCAAGCACTGAAAAATTTGTTTTCTGAATAGGGAGTTCCAGAAAAAGTCTAGTGATATTGAATGCCAATACAGCTAAGAGGATTTTTGCAACATTTGCTTTGAACTGGGAGTTTAAACATAAAACAAGCTCACCTCACTATCCTCAATCAAATGGATTCATCAAAAGAACCATGCAGACCATCAAAAACACCATCAATAAGGCAAAAAGAAGCAATAAGGATCCAGAAATCGCACTGTTAACTCTACGCACCACACCACTGGTTAGCAAGTTGCCAAGCCCAGCAAAACTTCTGAACGGGCATATGAGGAGCAACTTACCCTTTCATCTGCCTACAAAGGAAGGGCAGAAGCAAGAAGTCTACAAAAACTTCCAAGAGGAAGCAGGACACAAAAAAAACAATATTATGAAAGAGGAGCAAGAGACCAACAAACACTCCTACCAGATCAAGCTGCTCAAGTTCAAGACCATATAATTGGAAGATGGACACCCACCACAGTCGTTGAGAAATCCCAAGAACCTCAATTCTACATAGTTGAGACTCAAAACGGAGGTATCTTGAGAAGAAATAGATAACACATTAGACAGTTGCCACAGCCCAAGCATCCAGATGAAGACCATGCAGAAGAGTCTACTAAACATACAGTGAATATGAATAACAATGAAGATCATGTGAACAAGGCACATAATGCAGTGCCTCAAGAACAAGAATCAACCTGTGATGGCACAAGAACAAGATGTGGCCATACCATCAAAAAACCTAATAGACAGAACATACAATCCACTTCATTCTTTACATTGTTTATGCATAATGTTTAATAGTGTTAAAAAAAAGTGCTGTCATAATGGCCAGTATACTAACCTGATTCTCAAACCAAGAAGGTGCTATTTTCCTACCTGATTCTTTTTGAAAATTACTGAAAAATAATTTCCAATTTACATGTCAGTGAACAATCTCACTTACCCAACTTCAGAAGCTCAATGAATCTTAAACTATATTTTTGATAAACTACAGATTCTGATATACTTTTGTAATTAACTACTAAATACTAAGTTGAGTAAGTTTATTTACCACCTTGGCTATCTGCTCAAGCATAGGGAATTGTGATTATAGTTTTAAATATGTATGACAAAGTAAAATATTACTTATATGAGAGGAATCTAACCCCATTTAATTTTATTTTAGAAAAAGAAGGATGTCATATGATCAACCATAATTATCTCATTTATAATTGCGTTTTATCTACATCATATTATGATACTAGTCCCATATCCCTTTATATATATATTACATGTGTACCTAACCCTTATGTAAGCAATGTTGCTGTTAATTCCTCCAGAATATACTTGTACAGCTTAGCAGAGCTCTTTATCTTATTCACCTTTTCCCACATCAAATTGAGCAACAAAACAACATATAAGACATCTCTCTCCCTCTCTCCCTCTCCCTCTCTCTCTCTTTAAGTATATATATATGTTTATATATATATATATATATATATATATATATATATATATATATATATATATATATATATATATATGTACATATATACATATATTTATGTATATATATATACATCTGTGTATATACACATTTGTATATATATACATATTTGTATATATATACATTTTTGTATATATATACATATTTGTGTATATATATATATATATATATATATATATATATATATATATATATATATATATATATATATATATCTATATATATATATATATCTATATATATATATATCTATATATATATATATAATATATATATATATATAGATATATATATATATATAGATATATATATATATAATATATATATATATATAGATATATATATATATAGATATATATATATATAGATATATATATATATATAGATATATATATATATATATATAATATATATATATATATATCTATATATATATATATCTATATATATATATATATCTATATATATATATATTATATATATATATATAGATATATATATATATATATCTATATATATATATATAGATATATATATATATATTATATATATATATATATAATATATATATATATATTATATATATATATATAGATATATATATATATAGATATATATATATATAGATATATATATATATATATATATATATATATATACACATATATGATATTTGTGCACACACACATACAAAATTTTGGTTAATGGTAAGTCCTGATAGGAGAGGAGGGCATGAAGTAGATAATGGAAATTACATGGTAAGACAGTCCGAAATAAGAATAGAGAACAGAAATGTGAAAAACAAGCATAAAAATACAGACGTCCCCACCATCTTTAACCCACTGCCGCCGGGGAAAAAGAATAAAAAATGGGGAAATTGCTGTACTCATTTTTTATATTTTTCTGTGAAATGTTTCTACACATAGATGGCTCTGCCTTACCTGATCTCATTTGGCGGGAAAATGTATTTTTTACTAGTGTTATGAATATCAATGGTTATTTTTATCATAAACATTATAATTACTATAATGTTATAAACATTAGTAACAGAAAAATAAAATATTTTAGTAAATTAAAGAAAAGGGTAAACAGGCGAGACAGGCAGTACAAGTACAAGTGTAGCCATGTATATGGTAAAACAATTAAACAAGTAAACTCACAGTGGGCATGTCAAGTATATGTGACACCTGGCACGAATGGGTTAATTGGCGGGAAAATGTATTTTTTACTAGTGCTATGAATATCGATGGTGTTATTTTTATTATAAACATTATAATTACAATAATGTTTTCGAAAATTAAAGAAAGGGTGAAAGGGCGAGATAGGCAGAACTCGTAATTGGCTCATTGGTGACTTAGTACAAGTGTAGCCATCAATGTGTAAAAACAATCAAATAAGTAAACTCACAGTGGGCATGGCATGGCATGCCCGTTGGCAATGGGTTAAAAACCTACGGACCAACGCGTCAACTTAAAAAAAAAAAAACTCTATGGGAATCAGTCCCATCATTCGGTAAAAATCTATGGGATTTCACATAATCCAGATCCCCTGTGGTAATTGAACAATGCGTCCTAACCAATAAACCTAGCTAACCTTAACTCTGTGGTACTTATACAAAACAATCTATATATTCCCTAGACAGCAGGGTCTGCCCCCTGAATCCCCAAAGTACTATATACACATAGCCAGGGAGATAAACCCCTTTACCTTTATAAAGTGAAACCCTTAACCCAATGGTGCCGGGGAAAATGAACAAAAAATGTGGAAAATATTGTGCCCACTTTCTATGTTTTTCATGAAATGTCTGCCGATAGATGGCTCTGCTAGCGCCTGATTTAAATGGCGGGAAAAACGTATTTTTCACTAGTGCTATGGTGTCATTTTTATCATAAACATTATAATTTTTATATATTTTTTTAACATTAATAACAGCAAAATAAGATTATCTAAAATATTTTGTAAATCAAAGAAACGGGTAAACGGGTAAACGGGCAAGATGGGCGGTGCTCATAACTGGCTCATTGGTGATTTAGTACAAGTGTTGCCATCTATGCGTAAAAACAATCAAACAAGTACTCACTGTGGGCATAGCACGTACGTACACGTCATGCCCGTCACCAAGGGGTTCATTTTTCTTTGCTTCCGTTGATGGTTAGAATTGCTTGGTTACCAATCCCTTTTTTTGGCATTTGGGAGACTTGATGGGCTTAAAATAACAGGATATGATACAAACTAATATCTTTTTGTTCTGTAGAACCACTATATAGCTTTAACCCCTTACTGACGAGTTAAGAGAATTTTTTTAAAATCTAATCGATGGCAACGAGCCAATTTTGAGTGCAGGAGTTCACTGCATCAAACCGAAACCCCGGCTCATAGCACTTAGGTGCATCACTGCAGCGTACAGCTGCACTCCACAAATCGAATGGCTTGTTATGACGCCTCAGCATTTAGCCCTTTGGTATGGGGCTAAAAAATGACCTGGAATCAATGCAACACTTAAAATTAAACATTTCTCACCAGGTTTCTCAACAAATGGCATCACATGGCCTGTCAAATCTCCTGGTGGCAAAATGCACATGTGCGGAAGATTATTGTACACCCACACATGAACTACTTGGCATATTACAGTAATGAGTTAAACGGTCAGCCTAGAATTCACCCTCGCAATGTAAACAAGATGAGCGACTCAGCCAATATCGGGGGATCTTCTCTGCTCTTTTACGTATAGCAGCCTTGGGAAGCATTTGTACACATATTGCCACAGAAGAACTTCGTCTTGGTTTGTATTGTTCTATCATTTCATGTAGGTTTTATTACCCAACTCTGCCAATACCTCATACTACACATTGTCCCGTATTGTGGATAACTAAACGTCTACCACGTGTGCTGTGTATGGGTAACTTTTGGAAGGAAAACTGTTGTAGTAAACATGGCGTTCATTCATGAGGTTGTTTTGAATGAACTGTGTGGAACTCCTTTCTTGCTCGGAAATGTGCTTTCTTTTTAATAATGTCACTTTCCTCCCAGACTGGGCTTTCAAGAACTCTGAATATGAGAGAAATTGGCCTCAAAGAATAAAATACTTCAGATAAACTCATTAAAAAAAAGCGTCTCACTATTTTGCTTCCGATCAGCTGTTCCGCATCAACACGGAGGGACAACTGACGTAAACCTTTAAAAGATGTCAACAAAACAATGGAATGTAAGAAAAAAAGAAAAAAAGTAAGGAAATGAAGGGGAAATAAATAATAATGAACTATGATTATAATAAAAGTATTTGTAAAAACAAGTTGAACGAATAACTTTTTCAAAAACGAGGGAAACGAGCGGAAGACATTTCCAGAGGGAAATCGTGGAAGCTGAGGAAAGTTTTATGGATCTTCACTGCCGTTAACCGTGTTACTTAAATACTCGCATTTTTTCATCGAAAATATGAAGTACGGCTCGAATATACGAGAAGTTGAATTTCTTTGATCTTCGTAAATACAAAGTTTGGCTCGCATTTCCGGAAAGTCGAATCTCTTTGCATTCATAATTTCCTTTGGTCATTTACTGGCACCCAAATCAAACGGAGGTTACCCCCCCCCCAAACCCCCGGTTCCCCACGTGTTCCCCAAGATCCTTGGCTGGAATTGGGGACTTCGTCTCTGGCGAGTGCATCCGTGCCGAAAAGAATTACCTTATATATATATATATATATATATATATATATATATATATATATATATATATATATATATATATATTATATATATATACATATATATATATATATATATATATATATATATATATATATATATATTATATATATATATATATATATATATATATATAGAGAGAGAGAGAGAGAGAGAGAGAGAGAGAGAGAGAGAGAGAGAGAGAGAGAGAGAGAGAGAGAGAGAGAGAGGCATTTATTGCGACCTGCCTGCGCTCTGACTGCTGGCTCGAGCCCGAGTAAACGACATATCGCCTTGAGAAGTCAAACGTCCAAGAGACTAATAGGTTCTTTTAATAGATATTGTATTTCTCGTTTTCATATACTTCGTGTGATTCCACTGGTGTAAATGTTTCCTTTTGTTTCGTTTATCACTGTATCTCTCCCACCCGTAATCTATGTGATGTGGTTCCCTTCCTGTTCAGAGTCATTTAATGTAGGAATGACAAAATGGGATTATATGAAACACTGTATGCAAAAAGAAATTACAAATTTATTTCGTAAAAATACTTATAAATGGACTATAGTTCCTTGACGCGTCGTCCACTAACTTCGGGGAGAAGACGTACTGGAATCCTAGAGATAATCTTAAATCTCTTTTCATAGTTCTTACGTTTTAATTACGCAGTTTTCTCATGAGTTCCAGGAGCCAACACTGATACACCTTCACTCAATGATGCTATAAGCTGAACTGCTTCCAAGGAGGGCAGACCCGTGGATGGCAGGTCACCTAGACAAGGGCCTGGTTGTTCGGTTGTATGCATGCTGAAGTAACAGTTTCAGGAGAAGTTTTGGTATTTTAGCTTTTATCTCGAGCTAAAGTATTCACCAAGACCGTCCACAAGTACTGGACCACTAAATAAACAACTTCTACAACTACTGCCTCACTACCACCAAAATCTATTTTGTGGTTTTATTCCTTTCGATTTTCCTGTCATCATAACTAAGGGTCACATTTTATCGACTAATGCATAAAATATATCATAACTGGAGTGTCACTGGCCGATGACATTATATATATATATATATATATATATATATATATATATATATATATGTATATATATATATATATATATATATATATATGTATATATATATATATATATATATATATATATATATATATATGATACATATATATATGATATACGTATGATAATATTAATATATATATATATATATATATATATATATATATATATATATATATGTGTGTGTGTGTGTGTGTGTGTGTGTGTGTGTGTGTGTGTGTGTGTGTGTACACATATATATATATATATGCTTTTATACTTATACCTTCCTTCAATTTCTAGGTAGCTAGCTACCCTCAGCTTCCCTTCCTCTCCTTACACTAAGGACTCCTCCACCTCCTCCCCCCTTTAGTTCATTCAACACAAATAAGGCCGCCGTGGTAAAGTGGTAACGCACGCCGCTGTGGCCCGGAGGCTCCGCAACCGGACGGATTCGAATCCCAACCACGGTCAGAGGTTAGGAAGGGCATTCACTTGGGTAACGGCCTCCAACTACGGGCCCATCCTAGCCCTTGATCGAAAAGCGAGTTTCGTGACGTTAAACCGAAGCCATATACATATGAATGGTAAAACACTCTTTCATGTTAATAGTAGTGTAGTAAAAACCAGTTTATACAAAGTGGGTTTTTGTACCATATAGATATACAAATATACATAAACTTATATTTGTATATGTACATATATGTACAGATATTTATATGTATATATGTATATATACATATATATATATATATATATATATATATATATATATATATATATATATATATTTATATGTATATATGTATATATACAGATATTTATATATATATGTGTATATATACATATATATATATATATATATATATATATATATATATATATATATATATATATATATATATATATAAATGTGTGTATGTATGTGTGTATATATATATGTATACATATACATGTATATACACATATATACACATATACATATATGTGAACGTATATATATATAAATATAAATATATATATATATATATATATATATATATATATATATATATATATATATATATTTAATGATTTTGGAAAATAACTATGCAAGACATCAAAGTTCATATATCACTATGGGAAAGTGTTGCCTTTTCTGTTTGGGGGATTTTAGTTATAACTGCTTCTAAAAATGCACTTTCATTTACTTATGGTAATCTAACTTCCCAATGATGTCATTCATTTGGGAGCTAACGCTGGCAGGGGCGCATCAATGATGTGGATGAATATAAAATATCCATTATACACACACACACACATACATATAGTTTTATATGTATTTATTTAGCAAATACTGGTGTGATTGGTTGACTAATGAAGACAATTTCCATAGAGAAGACCTATGATGAAAAGTAACTGTTCAGGAATAAGGCCTTTGGTCTAATAACAGCCTTTCACCAGACCACTGTCAGGAGACATACAGCAGAGCCTTTTTGTATCTTAACCAGCCTCAGCAAAAAAACAATAACACTGAGTTTGATTACAGTAATGTTTTTTTTTTTTTTTTTACAAAGATCTTCATTAACCTTCCCTTGGTGAAAGAAACCAAGGGAATTGATAGTCCAAGAGTAAAGTTCTGAAAAATAAGAAATGAAGTATAAATAGAACAGAATGGTGATGAAAGGGAAGGAGTTACAAAAGAAAATCCTAGAGATGAATGTGAAGTTCCAAGCAGGATATTAGTGTAAGAACTAGAAGTGGAAAAAGAATGGAATGAAAATTTGCTGCTTGAGAACATAATACTTTTGAAAAGTTGATCAAATTCTTGTTTCTGTCATTGTGTTCAGATGTATTGTTTTTAAAGGAAGATGCTGTCTTCACTGTACAGGAAGCTAATCTGTGAAGTTTCCAGGACACTTAGTGAAGTAGTATCCAGAATAAAGCTTAGAATAGTACAAAATATTTTGCCATTATTGATGGTCATGATTATGTGTGCAGGTTATCAATAAAAGTATACTTTTAAGTTTTATGTTCCTTTTATATAGAAGTATATGATATGTATATAAACATGCCTTTCTAAAGAAAGGTTTATTCAGTAACCTAATTGTAATACTTGAACATAAAAGAGAATATTCATACCTTATGAAACATATTCAAGTTGTTGCAGCACCTTCTATGCATTGACAATATAACATGGGAAAATGAATGATTTTAACATATCTATGTACATTTACATTCAATTAATTAAGATGTGATTAAAATGACATGAAAAAAGCATGATGGACCGCTGTAAACTAAACAAAATAAAATAAAAAAATATACATTATACATATACTATAATATAGATGTATGAAATCATTGGTACTGATAGCATATAAGATGTATGAAAAGAAGTTTTTAGACATCACACTACTAATATTGCATGCATAAAAAAAAATCTTTAATATAAATAAGACCTTTACCCTCTTTTCTAAGAAAATAGTCATAACACATTAATTGTCAGGAAGTGATCATGATTTTGCATCTTCACCCATAAACTTGTTCAAAGTTGCTTGACCTCAGATGTGCATTCTCATTAATTTTTTGGTTCCAGTTAAAACCCAGAGACTTAAATTGTTCTTTTGTACCTCAGTTTTGAATGCAGGTCATAAAATAAAATAAAATAATTTTATACATATATATATATATATATATATATATATATATATATATATATATATATATATATATATATTTTTTTTTTATATACTTGTTCCCAAAGCAACCACAATTAAACTTTAACTCAATACATAGCTATCAACCAAGATATCTGACATATACATAAGTATAACTATAAAAAAAATAATATTTAATGAGGATATATCAACAAACACACAAGGGATAATCAGAACAAGGGCATTTTCCTTTTCACAGAAGCTTCTACAGGACACAAGTAACTTGTATGTAGATGATAGTAAAATGGTATTTGATCCTACAAGACCACTTCACCTCCTTGCAAGGGAAGAGATATCAAGCCCTGTGAACCAACAATGTCCCTCTCTGGGAAAATGCTTTTTCTCATCTTCCCATAGTTATCAGGCTCTTGTGTGTGCACTCGCATGTGCTTCATGAGGTTACCTTTCTCAGAGAATGATTTACTACATCTCACACACTTAAATGGCTTTTCTTTTGTATGTATTCTCACATGTCTCCCCAGAGCAGCTTTCTCAGAGAAAGCTCTATTACACATATCACAACTAAATGGCTTCTCCTTTGTATGCACTCTCATGTGTTTCACAAGATTACTTCTCCCACAGAAAGGCTTAGAACATATTTCACAGGTATAAGGCTTCTCTTTCGTATGGATTCTCACATGTTCCACCAAGTGATGTTTTTGAGAGAAGGCTTTATTACAAACATCACAACTATAGGGCTTTTCTCTTGTATGTACCCTAATGTGAATTGAAAGTTTACTCCTCCGAGTGAATTTCTTGCCACAGATCTCACAAATGAAACGTTTCTCTTTTGCATCCAGCTTTTTGTGCGTTTCCTCATCACTGCCTTTCTTATGGAACATCTGGTCTGGTGAGCAGAAGTCCCCACAGACCTCGGAAGCAAACCGCTCTGGCAAGAGCAAGGGATCTTCCTCTTCACACGTCAAAACATCTGAGCTAATTGAACCTGCTTCCCTCAGATTGTTGATTTCTTCTTGAACTGGACTTTCATTACTTGTATTTACCTCAAATTCTGTCTTGATGTATATAGCATTCACTTCGTCAATATCCTCAATGACTTTTTTTATTTTACAGCCATTCTCTTCACTTTTATCTTCAGTTTTCTCTTCCTTAACAGCAACGAATTCAATTGTGTTGTCAGGAACTTCCACACCTAAAGCTGAATCTTCCATGATAGCACCCATTCAGTAAAAACAGTGGCTGTAAATGAAAGGAAAGTGATAATAGTAATATAAATAATGCTGATGAAAATTATAAATTGTAACAATGACAATAATTATAAAGTTATAACAGTTATAGACCAGAAAAAAAAAAAAAAACAATAGAAGAAAAACAATGTGACTCAACACCACAGTCCATGACTGTACAGCAGATCCCACAAATCAAAAAATTACAAGAACTTCACAATACGTACATATATAAGTGTATAGCTTCAGAAATATGGTAAAACATAGGGAATCAGTGTCTGGCAACTTTATCACCACATATACACGCACATACTAAGATTTCAAAAGCAAAAGCTAGAAAGGGGCAGATTACTGTCCCCTTTAGATTTTTGTGAATTCTGTTATATACAGATGGCTCCACATGTTCTCAGCCAGCAAGGAGTCTATCAGTAGCCCTTGTGACCGACCCTGATTTCCCCATTCCTTGAATTGGCGAGAAAACGTATTTTTCTGTCTCATACTATTAATATTGACGTAATATTGATATTACGATTAATTAATTGTT